AGCTTCATTCAAAATTGTTGGTGTGGGAATATACCACTTCACTTGTTCATTTGAAATTATGCACTTAGGCAATATTGGAACGAGAAAGCGTAGATAGGTGCAGATAAATAATTTTGCCAAATGAAGTAGAGTCGAGGAATGAAGAGTACTAGGAACTAGTGTAAAGTAAAGAGAAGCAACAACAATAAGGGGAAGAATTATTCAAGGGGAGCTGCTTCGCTTGTCGATGTCATAGAAATGTGTAGGATTGCATCAATTCAAAGTTATGATGCTGTAAATGACCATAAATACAATGCTAGAGGACGCAGAACAAAGTACTAACCAGAAGTATCTAAAGAGAGGTTAAGCCAACACAATTCAGCTAAAGGATACTGCGACTAAGTCTATGGCAATACTGGTTTGGTCTTCATATTTACGATCAAAATGCAAGTTTGCGTCACCAAAATCTCACCATAAATGCGATATTTGAAGGGCCTAGCATGCTTTAAAAGTCGCATCTGTCCCCTGACTTACTGGCCTCCGTGGCAGTATGGCAAATGATAACATGGCAAAAGCATATGCTATACTACCTATATTCGACTCTCAATGAGGGTGCTAATGAAAAACAAACGAGGTAAAGAACGTAATCCACCCTTAATTAGAATCACCCTAGGGCGACAAGCATAAGTAAAATTATAGATATGAAGAGAAACTTGGTTTCGGGGAATCTCTTGAGATAACATTGTTAGAGGGACTTTCATTTCGTATGAAAGTGAATGGAGAAGAGATTCGTTGGTCGATCTCACCAGATGATGACGTGAGATTTTTACAAGAATGGTACCCAGCTCTAATAATGTCCATCATATGATGGAAGAAAGCTCAGCACAAACACAAGGATTAGCGATGGGATCTTGCCAACATATATTAGATCTGCTTAATTTTCTTTACAACCATAGTTACAAGACTAAGGTAGAATTTTTGAATTCAATGATTCTTAGAAGTATGCGGCTAGCGGATAGCAAACATTTGACTAGAGTTGGAACGGCCGACAAATATATTCCTAGAAAATAATTATCCTTTGGGCCTTATTAAGAGTAATATCTCTTTACTGAGGAATAAATTTTCAGACGGAGACCATTTAGTCAAAGATAGAGAGACTGAAATCTTTACCCATGTCCTAATTTTGTCTTCATGCTTTCTCTCAAAAAAGCTAGGCGAATTAGTAAGAAAGTGGGAGATAAAACAGTGTTTAAAAAAACCCTCACATTTTCTTCTGTTGTGCCATCTTTTAGAGAGAAATATGGCCCATTATCGATATCCGGCTGCTACAAGATTGTCTGCTCATGTAGTCGATCTTATGTTGGTGAGACATGCCGACATATTCGACAAAAATTTGGAGAACACAAAAATGGCTGTTAGGAAGCTAAGTTCAACGGTCAGAAGTGGCCGAACACGATAGAAACTGGACATGAAATAAAATGGTATCAAACTAGTAGGTTTGCTGATTATGGTACGACTGTGTTTATAAAAATAAAAAAGGCTATTGAAATGAATAGCTTAGGAAATACGTTGAATGTGAGGAACGGTGGAAGAAAGTTGAGTAGGAACTACTTGTGCTTGATTGATAGATTGAAGGAGA